AAATCATTGATTTCTCCAACAGTATTTCCCATTACACAAAGCCCAGACCAACTGGTCAAGAGAGGAATGGGATAAATTCAAATTAGGATTCTTGCGGCTGTAGATTCAGATAATATAATACAACATAATGTAATGTAGTATATTAAATATATTTATATAGTAATTTTTTTATTAATCACTATGGGTTTCTCATTAGTCTTTGTAGAAATATACAAAAAGTTCAATTCCAGTTTGAACAATTTGAAAAAATATTATGTCAAAGTAGAATTTAATTACTGGATCTAAGAAGCAGAAATGCTGACATGAATACATTAAGAACTCAAAGTACAAGAATGCTATCACTTCTCTCAGTAAAAGCAATAAAGAAATATTTGCAAAATTCTTACATTGCAACATCCAAGGTGCATAATGAAAAAAGAGCACTGGCCATATCAGCCAATTATTTAATTTAAATTTAAATAGTTTTTGTCTTCAATATTTTTTCTATGAACTCTATGAGATATTCAGATATTCAGGATATTAATAAAATAATCATTTAATATTTCAGGAATGTGGCTCTCAACTATAATGAAAATGATCACCCAGAAATATATAAATGGCTTTGTTATATAAATTTCTAGTAAAAATTGATTATAGTATGTTTATCATAGCAAAGTTAATTTGCTAAATAATGTTTTAAATGAACTCATCACTTTTGTGGTAACTAAACCACGTATCTGCATATAGAGTAGGTTTATTTGTAAGTCATTGTATTAGTCCATTTTCATAGTGCTATGAAGAAATACCCGAGACTGGTTAATTTATAAAGGAAATAAGCTTAATCAACTCATAGTTCAGCATGAGTTCAGGAACTCACAGTTCCCGAGAGGCCTCAGGAAACTTATAATCATGGCATAAGGGGAAGCGAATATGTCCTTCTTCACATCACAGCAGCAAAGAGAAGTATATGTGCACAGCAAAGGCAGAAGCCCCTTACAAAACTATCAGATCTCGGGAGAATTAACTCACTATCCCAAGAACAGGATGGGGGAAACCATCCCTATGATTAAATTATCTCCCACCAGGTTCCTCCCAGGTCACCTGGGATTATGAGAACCACAATTTAAGATGAGACTTGGGTGAGGACACAGCCAAACCATATCTGTCAGAAAGCTTAACACCCTGTCTTTCATTTTGGAGACTGCTCAGAAATATATGTTAACAGATTCAAATCCAAAGTATACTTTTTAATGGATTCAAATCCAAAAAGTAAAATGTATAAATAAAAATATATTTGTTTTATAGTTTAACAGATTCAGATCCAAACACAAAACCTCATCATCCTACATTCTATAATAACCACCAGTATTGGCAAATCAAGAGACTTTTCCCCAACCAGTTTAATTGACCACAGAGGGAGAATTTATGACTTTCTCAAGCTCAAGAGATTGCTCGAAAGTACAATCAGTTATAGGAAATAAAGGAAAAGAAACTGTCAAAGAAATTCTAGACAGGGAGGAAAAAAAATAAACATGGAATTTCACTCCTAAGTTTGAGAATAATTGACAACATACAAATGAACAATGCCTCTAAAAGATATATATATATATATATATATATATATGTGCCCCCACTAGTACATAGTCTCTCTCTCTTTCTCTTTCTCAATCTCTGTCTCTCTCTTTCTTGCATGCTCTGTTTCTTTCTATCAGAACATTGCAGGATGGACACATTGTTAGGACACATATCCATATACCAGTGAATATTTGTATAGGTATTCACATTTCCCTGAATTTCCTCACTTTCTAATACTCATGAATTTAAACTAAAAAGAAATACAATATTTGGTAAACGACAGATTGGATTAAAAAAAAATGGTGTTTAATTCAAAAGTAGGATTGTTGGGTAAGTCATAGATAGGTAAAAGAGAAGACTTTCAAAATACCACAGAATGCTATTATAGTTTTAAGATACCTAAAAGGATCAGGTTTTGATGTTCTTTTCTTTGTTTTTTTAACAAACTGAAGATGAGTATTTAATGTAGACTGTAAATTGTGTGACAAAGTTAAGACTGAATTAATCCCCTTAAGATTTGGAAAAAGAAAGCAAGGTTGATGTAACCAGTAGGTTTTCATAGACCACATAAAATACCTTTTTACTATATCTTCTCCATTCCAGCAGGGAAGTCCATCTGCAGCAGCTAATTCATTAGCACAAAGCTGATCAGCTAGACCTCCATAGAATGACCTGTACAGTCGAAGGCTGTTGATAAATTCTCTAAATGAAAGAAGAAAGAAAACAATTAAAACTAAACATCCATAATAAAGGCCATCAAAAATGATATATATTGTTGTACATAATGTTTAGGATATAATTTTATATTGTTATGCATAATGTTTAGAATATAATTTTTTCAATTTTCTCTTTGTTTGCATATATTTTAAATACTTTTCTAACCACCAAGATGAAAATACATTATCTTTTTTTAGAAAAAAGCTGGTATTTTAATTTATTCTTAGAAAAAAAGGAATCACTGGGTATGAATCTTGTATAATTCCACATCCAAGAGGTTAGGAATAGGATATACTGATGCATACAGACAGACATTACTTTGTTTAGCCTCCCTAAAAGTCCTCACTACCTGCTGTCATCTACATCACCATAAGAGTACTAACACTTTTCTTTTCCCTGTGGAAAATGTCAGCACTTACAACATGCCAAGTGATTGCTTTCTGATGAAAAGTGTACTAGGTTATTTTCTTATCTGGGTCTTCTTGGTATCTAAGAATAAAAAGTAATATCTTTACTAAATATGACCCAAAACCCAGACATGTAAATTTCAGAAGCATGAAAATAAAAGTTTTTGGAAGGAATAATATTTAATATATTGACTAAGATTTTTTCCTCCCACACTACTTTCCTTCCCCGTATCAATTATGGGAGGAAAAATTCAACAACGAGCATGTTTGTTTTGTTTTAATTTAGAAATCAAAAACTTCTGAGTTTTAAAACCAAGGCTTTGGAGGACCAAGAACTTGAGTTTTAATATTTCAAAAGGCCAAGTCCTAAAGACCTTCATTATGATTTTTTTTTTTTTTTTTACATAAACAATTGCTTTGGAAAAAGAAATGAAAAGGCCTAGGCTGATCATAGGAGATGCTCTCTAGACCAGAAGGGACAGAAGAAGGAAATGTTGGAAGGAAAGTAAACTTTAGAAATTCATGGAATAAGCAATTAAATGTAGCAATTATGAAATGTCATCCCCCAATAAAATTAAAAATATAATTTGTTTAAAAATGAGATCAAAGAAGAAGGGTGATTCTAAATTATAGCTGGAGTACTAATTTTTAAAAAATTAAATCTCATTTTTTCACCTCTGTTACTCAAGATCATTAATTTTTAGTTCTCTCTCCTATTATTTTTGTTTTGTTTTGTTTTAGAGATGATATCCTGCTATGCTGCCCAGGCTAGACACAAACATATTGGTTTTTAAAGAACTATTTGTGAATATTGCTGGAGTTGGTTTGTAAAAAAGATAAACATTACTTTCAAATATGTAACATCAAAACTCATAGAGAAAATCAGAAGTTTTTAGTGTATTTGCTGAGTATTTAAATCATATTTACTACTTTAAGTCAGTTTCCTTTGCCAGAAAATAAGTCCCTCAAAGATGGCTGTATCTCTACTATAGTAATTGGAATGCATGAACAAATACCAATTTATATGTTGCAGCTACTAAAACATAATTGAGGAGGTCGACTAATTCTTTCTTAGAAAGGTGGGGTTTAATGAATGGCAGGATGTGTGACTCCTGTCCTAAATTGTATTCACTATAAATGATCACTTGTTTGGAATCAAAGAGTCTTCTAGCAATGAGGAGACCAGGCCCAAATTGATGGAATGTTGAGACTTTTAAATTGATGATGTAAAACTGAATATATTTTTATGGACCCTAAGTCACCTACTGCAGTCTTGGTGGATAGCATCAGGTTCATTTCTCCCTTCAAAATCAATAGATCCTCATAGGGAAAGCTTTACTTCTTTCTTTTCCAGTCCTCTTCCCCGTGACTATACTGTCGTTGCCTTAGTCCAAGCCTTTATCATCTTTCTCTGGACTTACTACACTAAGATTATATCCCTCCTATCTCTTCCCATTCTCAATGACAGTAGCTTTCTAAAATTCAAATTTGATATTCCAGAGATTATGTTACTCACTTAAAGTCCTTCAAAAGCTTCTCTACAGCATTTTATCCAAGTTTCTTGGAAAGACGTGCAAGTTATCTTCTCACCTCAATTTCAACAACAACCCAAACCATACTTTAGGGTCCCACAAAAGTGAGGTACTTTCTGTTTCCCAAACACACCGTCATACCATTGCCCATATTTATTCTGAAAGGATTGTATCCTAGATTTCCAGTCATTCAATGAACCATCATCTATAAATTATTGGTCAAAAAGTAAGAAACACTATTGAGTGCTAAGTTTTGTATTGGCACTAAGGATTCACAGGTAAGCAAGAGAGCCCCTGCCTTCTAAGAACACACATTTTGGGGAAAGCCTACAATGGTAAGACAATGTTAATAGAGCCAAATTTTAGTGCACAGACGAATCAGAAGATATTTACAAAACAAGGTAATATTTCAGTGCTCCATGCAAAACAAACAAGCAAACCAAACAAAAAGTCAGGATGAGTAACGGTAAGAGGAAGGAAAATACAGGTAGTATGCAATTTCATTAGTGGGGACTGTGCTTATGGGAATGAATTATGGTGAAATGGTAAGAAGAAACCATTTTATCATCAGTCTTATTGCTCATCGTAAGATGTTTCTGTTTTATTCAAAAGGAAGTTGGAACCATTAAGTTTTCCAGCAAGCAGGTGTCATCATCATCATGGCAGCAGTTTGGGAGTAGAAAGCAGTGAGGTCACTTAGGTGGCTATCACCTGAGCAGAAGAAACCCTGAGGATGTGAGAAAGAGCCTGTCAGTGAACATAAAAACAAGTGAAAGATTTGAAAGACATTAGGAATCCAGAATTGACAGGCTAAAGGAAGAATGTTAAGATAACACACACAATTTCTAATTGTGTTTTCCCCCTGCTCATGTGAGGGATGCTCATGTCATTCGCTGAGATAAGAAATAAAGGAAGGGAAATCTCACCTTCTCAGGGTCCCATACTATACTTATGATCATCCTTATCTCGCTCCATACTTTCGTCTTTTCAAGGCACACATCACTTTCTGGCCACTTATGTAATATACAGATTAATCAGGCCTTACTGTTTCTTAACTGTCTCCATGGTCTGGAATAAAATATTCAGGCAGGCAGAAATGTTGTTGTTTGTTTTGTTCCCTGCCATAAATCATAGAGCAGTGGTGTTACATACAGTAGCCCCAATAAATAGTCATCAAATTAATAAATGAGTGAAGACTAAGGAATTAATGGTTTCATTCTCAGCATGTTCAGTCTGAGATTTCTTTGGAATGTCTAGATAGAGAAATCAAACAGAATGCTACTTTCAAACTTACTAGGTATAAATCTCATCTGGGGATTTTCCCCAAATGCAGATT